AAGAAGGTCGAAGCCTGGACTCGGGCTTAACGGGCTGCAATGATACGGTATGTTACATTCCGTGCTTGCTGACTATTTTGGCTTTCTGCGATTCTGAGGTTCACGGCAGTGAGCTTGCACAGCTTCTGATTCGACACTATGGCATTATGTCAGTATGTCTATGCGCCATGACAATACGACTACGACTACGACATCTGTAGACTCTAGTTAGACTCTAGTCTAGCCCTAGGACCCTAGGATCACTATTCAAATTCACTATCCGGTTATTACAAATAGGTACTCCAAGAAGCATAGGCCCAACAGCAACACCCAATCCAATGCCAAGTCCCCGCCGGTCCACCGGGAACGGGGAAACACCGGACAGCGGTGAGGGATGAGGGCCGGGACGAGGTGCTCGTCGAGCTCAGCGAAGATTTGATTTTCATCTGGGACCGGGCCAGAAGGCCAAAAGAACAAGATCCTCGTACCACGCAAGTTGCTGCCTCGGAAGTAGTGTTCAAGGACAAGGCGTTGTCGCCGCCTCACACGGTTAACTTTCGCTCCCTCGTCCCCACTGCCACTGCAATCAGACAGGCACATGTCGAAGACTTGTTCCCTGTATGCATCGTTGTCCGCATTGTCAGGTGGATCTCCGATGCAAATGTCAACTCTTTTCCGGAGAACAGACGATAGTGCATCCCTCATCTTCGATGTCGCACCCGCCATTTGCATGGCCACCGCAAGAGCAATGATGCCAGATATGTGGCCGTCCACAAGGTTGCAGCACTGAGTTTGCTGTTGGGCGAGCTTGTGAATCTTACAGAAGCCATGAGCCTTTACAAAGGATGCATCCTCCAGCTGCATTGACTTCTCACATTTGATGTTCGGACCCGCTCTGTCCGTCATGACCAACTGAACCTTGAAGGCTGCTTCCCTCGCCAACCGGCGCAATTCCGGAACGGAGCTTTCTAGGTTCAGCTGACATGCTTTCAACGTTTCACCAGTGCAAGCATCAAACGATGAAAGAGTCGTGGGTAGTGTCGTTCGTACAAACATGTATTGCTCATTCTTCTGCAAAAGGACCCCGAAAGAGAGCTCCGTCTGCAGAAGCTTTGTCGGCACAGCGGTACCCTCCTCTGAAGACTGCTGCCGAACCCGCAACGGCGTCTCATCATATCTGCGCTTTTTCACTAGCATAACCACTTTGGCACCAGAAGCGAGGATGCTAGAGGCAAGGTTGCCAAACATCATTGAGGCACCCCAGTAGACCGCTGCACCTGTGCGAAGCAGCATGCTCTTCAGATTGCGACGTTCATTGTCCACGGCTGAAGCTTCAGCTGTAAACGACAAGCCGGGCTGCAACTGCATCAAGTGTCGCTTCACAAAGCTTGCGGCATCAGGATCTACTTCGGGAGCCGTTGGCTTGCGTGATGCCATCACACACAACATCAATCTCTTCTGCAACTCGGAACCCAAACTTCGGTAACGCCAGAGCTCACTGACCGAGCCTTCTGGTTGCCCATCTTGAGCAACCTGAGCCGCTTCCCGAGCTCGAGCCCGACACAGTCTCGCTTTTGCAGCTCTCGCGCATCCGCTATCCTGCTCCTCACCCTCGGGATGAGCTGCATCCCTGAGGGCCTTCAAGTCACGCTTGTAGGCAGCACTACCACCGGAGCCAATTGGCCGTGTTCTTTTCTTCTCCTTTGCAGCCCCAGCTGGAGCGGGCACTGAGGCATCCATGACATCATGAAACGATAAATATGTTTGACATGTTTCCAACAACTTGTCTCTGTCGTCGACCGAACACTTCGAAATTCGAAACACCTGTCAGCTAGTCCCCTTCTCAGGCCCTTCTGCTTGCCACCGTGACAGTTACAGAAGTAAACAAGCACCGGAACACCAATAACCTGACATGCCCCTGCGGCCTGCGGCCCCTGCATGATCGACGCGAGCGGATAGATTTAAGGCTTTCCAGGAAAGCCATGTTCTTGGGGTTTGTTGCCGGGAGCTTGATGTTCGTTAAAGGATTTGACCTAACATCAACCAAACTGCTCAAACCGAGCGCATAACACATCAACGCGAACACACACACACACACACATAGCCCTGCGAAAACACGACCGCTGCTTTCAGGTTTTGGGGTTTCTGGTTAACAACTCCCCATGCACACACGCAGGCAGGATCCCTATACCAAGGATGGGTTGAGGCTTTGGGGATGTTTGGGGTAGAGGATATTACAGGGTTTGGAGTTCCCCTACGCAAACACACGGACACAGCCACGATCCTTGTGGCAAGGATGGGATGCGGGTTTGCAGATGTTTGGGGATTACGGTTTGGGGTTCCTTCGACCACGGAGGCACGACCCCTACCCTACAGCAAGGATGTGTTGAGGGTTACGGGATGTTTGGGGGATAAGGTTTGTGGGTTCTCCCTTGCACACATGCAAGCATGGGTTTAGAAGTTTAGGGTTTGGGGTTGTTTGTGGATGTTTAGGGATTAGGGCTTCAGGTTGTCCCATGCACACACGCAGGCACGAGCCCCGGTAGCAAGGATGGGTTTAAACGTTCAAGTTTTAGGTGTGTTTGGGAATGAGTGTTTCGGGTGCTCCCATGCACATGTACCCACAGGCACGATCCCTGTAGGTAGTAAGGATGATGTTTGGTGGGTTTGGTTTCAAATTCTCCCATGCACACACGCAGTCACCATCTTTGCAGCTGTAGCTAATGGGTTTACACAAACTTAGACTTTAGACTTTAGCCATTAATCATTAATCACTTTAATTAGGGTGGGTCCATCTGGGGATTGGGATTCGGACTTGTCTCGGCTGTGGGTTGCCAACGCCCTCGAAAACACATTCACAACTGACGCGATCGCACAGACACACAGCCGGACCGACACACACACACACAATCTCCAAACCCGAAGCCCTAAACTGGCCCTAAAGTGCAAGACTGAAGCTGTTGATTTCTTTGCTCGAACAGAGCCTCAAGTTTGAACGGATGAAGGTTCAAGGCCTGATTGCATTTTTTTGTGCTTCCGTACATGCTTCACCTGGCTGCCAACTTCGGCTGATCCAGAGCCACGGTATCCTGACCGGTGCAAGCAAGACTTCAAGACGGCAGGACATGTGTGAGCAGAAACCATGACAGTGCCAGTTGAGGAACAGCCCAAAGATCAGACCTCGTCGTACGTTGGAGAGCTGTACCGCAGACAGGTCGCAGCCTAGCCGCAGCCGCAGCAAGCGATGCTTATTTCGTGTTGTAAAGCAGTCGGTCCTGCCTCAACCAGTATGGCCTTGGACTCCCGGAATGTGGACCTTCAAGGCCCAAGGTTCGGGTGTGACCCAATGAGAATCCGCTGACTGTTCCTCGACGGTTGCGCATGGGTTCATGTCCCGAGGACCCTGCCCCGGCTTTGATGCACAAGTCACCAGTCCATGTCGAAGAACCTCCGATGACAGCCATAACATGATTTCACTGGCACGTTGGCTCCCTCGGCCTTGTCCATGCACTTCTTGACCACCACACCCACGCCTGCCAAAACAATGAAGACAGAGTAGACTCATTATGTCAACGGTTCAGCTTCACTCGGACTTGGCAAATATTCAACGACATGCAAGCAACTCATGCCCATATGTCCGCCCACCCAGTATATACAGGAGCCATGTTGGCAGATCGCAGCGAAAGAATCTTTGGCCGCCTGTACAAAAATCAAAACCTGTGCTGCGCATGACATAACTACTGTGGCCACAACTGCGGCGGGGCTCCCCAGGTCACAATCCAGCTGTCATCAAGGATGGGAATCCCTCAGGGTCTCCGTTTCAGCCCGCTGGTACAGGTTGGATACAGGCCGCCGAGCTTGCAGAATCAATGGCTGGTGCAGAGCTGTCACTGTCGCAGTCACCCTGGCCCAACACATACCACGGCAGGTCAGAAGATATCCACCAATGCACTGCCTCCAGAGCTTGCAGTTCAGGCGGCTCAAGACAAGCAGCCAAGGAAAGGCACACCTGAGGGATGCCAATAACGTAAACCAGAGGAGCCTCACCCTCGAAGGTATGCTCGGGCGACTCTGGGAACTGCAACGTCATGATAACTGTTCCGTGCTGCACAGAACCCGGCTTGAAACAGGGACAGCGGCAGCACGCACAGATCTGCAGAGTGACAGCTCCACTCCCTATATATTATATACACAATGGCAAGCAGACCTGAGAAATGCAGCTTATGGCCAGGCACACCTGTTTCTAGGGATTCTAGGGCAGATTCTAGGGGCGGAGGTTTCACGATGTCTCAAATGACGTGAAGGGTGCAGAGCAACCAAAACTATCAGTAACTATCATTACTTTTTATTAAACACCAGCTGAGCTCGCCCACCTGGAAGCCAATGTGCAAAGACGATGCCGAACATGAAGCAAAGGTCCTACGCAAAGCAATCAAGAAAAACAGTCGTCAAGCACGGCCGAGCTCACCAACCTCGAAACCAAAGTGCACCCAAGTCGTCGAAGAGAATGTCGGAGCCGAACCGAGGACGCCCTGTACCGAGCAATGCAAAGACAAGATTAGCCAACAATGGTCTCGAGCTCGCCAACCTCGAAACTAAAGTGCACCCAAGTCGTGGAAGAGAATGTCGGAGCCGAATCGAAGAGATCCTGTACAGAGTAGTGCAAAACAATAAGAAACGATGGCCCAGCTCACCAACCTGTAAACCAGAAGCCGTCAAAGAGCACAAGGACCCTGACCAGAGCAGGTGATATATGTATGCAGCCTCCAGGCAGACACTAAGCCACTAAGCTCCGGACGAAGCCGCGAAGTCATTCAACCACGGCCATCCGGACCTGACGACAGGAATCCCTGCATCACTTTATTCACACGGAAGTGAACCTGTTGCGATTGCATCAAAGGGCTGAGGGCTGGACACAGAACATGCCTTGCCCGCGCCGACCGAAAGCAAGCTAAACGGTGCAGCGCATGACCAATGGAACAAACAAACGATTTGGTAGCAGCAGCCTACATTCCTAGATTCTAGATTCTAGATGAGATGGCATAGTGACCCAGTTGGCCTAGAATGGAGCTAGGACCGCTAGGAGCAATAAGTTTGGGCTTCAACTTTAAAGGACCTCGGCGAACATCCTCAAACTCAGCTCGAGCCATCTCGAGCCCCTTCCAGCCCGTCCAATGCAGTAGGTCAGCAACATGCGCGCAAAGCAAAATGACAATCACCAGTGACCCGCCCCCTGCCAATGTCCTCTTCCTAGCGATGGTCAACCAGTCAGCCATGTCCAAGTGCACAACCGCATGGAAGTAGCCCACCGGCACGCTTGCCGTTTTCAATTCTGCCAGGAACCTGGCCCGAGAGCATTGAAGGCACCACTAGCCGATCAATGACAGGAAGTCCCTGACAGCACTGGCATCACTATCACTAGTCACTAGCCACTAGCCGTTATCATTAACAGTCATTGATTAACAGCGCTCGATGATGACAGCGATGGCATTCGGCAAATGGCTGAGTTCACACTTCAACTGCTGGATTCCTAAATCGGACAGATGACTGATTAGGTAGGTGCAGCACCGCAGGCCTCTCCATCGGAGTGTCGTCACAACCATCCTTCTGTGAACGATCCGGCATGTCGAAGCCTTCGACGTTCTCGAAGCATGCTGTAACTGGCGTGAAGGTTTCAAAAAAATCGACTGCATCTGTAAATGTGATGGCATATGCACTGTGGTCCTGCGGCGAAGTCTTGAAACGTTTTGCCCTCTGGACACTGAAGGGCTTGCACGGTGTGCCAAGGCACGCGAATGCCGGGCTGGAATCAACAACGCACGCCTCCGAGTGAGGATGACGAGTGCACGCACACCCCTGAATCTGCTTCCGAATAGTTTCGTGGGCATGGAAGATTCCAGAGTGGTTGTGCAGAGTGAAGGACCGATACTCCGCACACGGCTCGGAGATGGATGTCGTCTGGAAAGGGATGCCAAGCTCCTTCCGCACCGAACTATCACTAAGAATCTGCTAGACTCGAGTCGCATCCCACTTGGTCCGACCCTACCTGCCTACCGAACCTACGTGTACCGAAGGTTCAGCAACCGCCTCTTACACTGCTAACTGCTTATCGGCAATCAAACCACAGCTCTTTCTCGTCATTTTGATAACCGATAACCCGCCCTCACTGTCCTTGAAAGCGACGCCCTCCACAAAGGCTCCAGTGCACGCACTCAGCACAGAGACGTGAGACTTCGAGCTACCGCCACGGGGATCCCAATCCCGGGTGTGATCCTTGAGCTTCTGCACCCACCAGGAGTCGTCATCTGAAGGCAGCAGCGGCACTCCAGGATCAACATCTTCATCTTCAAAAGGCATGATGAAAGATTGCCCTTCATCGCCTTGACTGGAGGCTGAAGACCTGCATGCATCTGCTTCACTTGTATCCTGGGACAACACCTACAGCTCTTCTTCTGCTGCAGACTTCTCACGCATCTCACGTAAAAAAGCCGTCGCAAAATCAGCCCATTCCTCCTCCACAGGACCGTCCATGGCAACCGCTGCCATTCGACTGATCTGAAACCTAAGCCTAGGGCCTAGGACCTAGGGACCTAGGATGGGCCTAGGTAGGGCCTGGGCCTAGGACCTAGGACCTAGGTAACATGCCCTGTGTCCTGTTGTGACCATGTGCCCTCGAAGAGGCTGCCTTGCGGCGCTGTGTCAAAAAACAACTCTGCGTAACTCTGCCATAAAGCCCAAAATTGCGTGGATCTCAACTATTCAACTATCGCAAGCTGCCCTACCAAAAAATCTCAAAGACATCAATCATGCGCCGTGCAAAAGCAAACTTGCTTGATCCATGCCTCGATGACGGCAGGGTGTCCAACTTTGGCGACATTTAGGGTGTTCGTTTCCTACATTATGCATGTGATTTTTAGTTTACCATATACCAACGAGCATCACGAACGATTGCAAGACAAAGGTGCTTTTGCAACTCCTATGACCTAGGATAATACGCTGAATACACGAAAACTGCCAATTCTATTCGATGCCCAATGCATTCCCGATGCATTGATACTCTGTTTTGCACTGTCCATGCAATTTACTTGCATTTTGTCTGCATTTTCTGTGCATTTTACATGTGTTTCTGCTTACAAAGACTTTACTACTGACTATGATGAAACCTATAATGTACTGACATTGAAATGAATTTCGCTGTTTCACATTTATTTTGCATTTGTTTTGCATTTCTTTTGCTAATTCCTATTTTACCTTTGCAGACCCCAATTTGTTCTCATTTCTTTTCCATTTCTTACCCATTCCGATCATCCACCCCCCCAAAGGCCGTTTCCATTTGTTTTACATTTAGGATCCATTTTATTCCCAAATATATCCTTTTTTTAACATCATAGAAAGAGGCACAGACTGCCCACACAATGCTAAGCTCGGTGGGCGAGCTCATGCGTGACGCGAGCATGTTGATGCTATACTGACAATCGATGCAATCATGGGCAACATAAAGAAGCACTCCGACGCAACATCGGAACAGTTTGGCATCTGCTGGGCTCAATGGCTTGGCCCCATCTAACTTCTCAAGATCGCTGAAAAGTGGCGTTTTCTTCTTGGCTTCAGGCCTGATGTTCAGAAGTCTTTGGAGCCTTTCTAAGTACTTCGGACGCGGGCTCATCAGAAGTTGGTCCTCAGAGACCAAGTGCAACTTGCGTTTCAAGAACCAGAGAACATCACCTGGCTTCTGCAACACCTCGAACTTAATTTTGTACTTCGCAAGAAGTGCGGGCTTAAGCTCATTGTTCGCGTACTTCAATGTAGTGAAGGCCAGCATGTCATCCACACGCAACTGCATCACACTTTCCAGACCCTTGGTCCTCAGAAGTGTAGGATAGGCTTCACAGGACTCCACACTCAAGCTTGAACTAAGGTGCTGCAAGAAGGAGCCATACCACTTCTCAGATCCATCACGTTGCCCTGGCAACAGCTTGCCCAAAGCAAATTTGACCTCAGGACCTCCACCTGTCGGGCGATACACAACCTCCGTCGGCACAGTCTGATCGACTGTGAGGAAGGCATCTGACACATCGATAGCGACCAGGCACTTGTCAGGAGCGGTGCTTGTGGTGTACAAGATCGGGAGAAGTCGGTTGAGGAGACATGAGGAAGCTGGTGCAAAGGTGTCCGACCGTTCGCACAACCATGCAAACTCCCTTGCAACGTATCTGGCGCGCCTCAACCATATGGGCTTGCCCTGGTGTACCTTCTCGCGCCAGTCCTTGACCATGCGCGTTGTCAAGCGCTTCACTTCACCTGCACTGTGGCCATCGAGAGTGCTTGGATCAAGGAGAACTGAAAGCTTCTTAAGGCGCTCAATCTCAACAAACTCAGCAACCAAATCTATCTCATCTAGCTTGTCTTGGGACAATGAAGGTGGGTCATCACCGCTGCGTGGGAACATCAGCTTTTGCTCATAGTCAGTCAGATCAACTTCTTCAGGCTCTTCCCACTCATCATCCTGGAGATCATCCTCCTCGAACCCTTCAACAAGCTCAGGTTCAAAGCACAACTCAGGAGACTCATCCTCGTGGCCATACGCATGCACAGCGCGGATCGACTCACCAGGGAAGAAGAATGGGCACACAAGCGAGGCGGCAGAGAGCTGCACGCGGTTCACATCCCCGCCAGGGCCCGGTTCCCCATTGTCAACATACCCGACGCCGGCACCCTCATCTGCAACTGACATGAAGGAATCACCGATTGACATTGCAACATCACTGGAGCGACGGGAGCTGCTACTACTGCTACTGCTGGGGTCCGTCCCCGCCACTTCGCTTGGGCTTGCAGCTCCTTCATCTGCAGCCTCCTTGCCGTCACCATCACCTGGTGCAATCACTGGACCACCTGAAACCTCAGCGGGAACTGGCACAGGTATCGGTGCAGGCGGTGCAACACGCTTGGCCAACACAAGCTGCGACCCAAGTGATGCCAGGCCGTGCTCCCACACACACTTCTCCACTGACACGGCTAAGTCAAGGTCCCACGGATTTGCAAAACGGCGCACTGAGCGGGTCACAAATATTCCCGCAGCTGTGCCGATTATGTGCACATCATTTCTGCATGTTTTGCCCAGCCAGACTCCCTTGATCCACTGGGCTGAGGCTTTAGCTGTTTGCAGGAAACCCATAACCCGCTCGCCGAAGAGGCAGATGCGGCCTTCATAAGACGAGGACCTGACCCGCTCAAATGCAGTTTCATTCTGAAGGACTCTGAAGCGGTTGAGGAGCCAACAAGCATGCAGCACGGACCACTGGAACAATGGGTGACCAACCTTGATCACCTCCTTCGTCATGCCTGCACCTTCCTCAAGCTGCGAAATCAGAACACACGCATGCTGGCGCACGCGTTGCAAAGCTTGCTCAACCTCGCCATTGGACTCATGTGAACCCACAGGGCTCGTCTCAGAGGTCACTCCAATGTTCAAGCTTCGGAGGGCACGTTGCAAATGATGCATGACATGAAGGATCGGCCTCTCATTGTCCGACTTCAACTTGACGTTTGAGTGTCCCAACCAGCATATGAACCTGGCTGCCTCAGTAACCAAGAACGAGGTTGCAGCACCTGCTTTGCTTTGCGTAGGGATGGCAAACACAGCTTTGCTCGCACGATCAACGCAAAATAGCACAGTCAAACTGTCCTCTCCGACCTCAGGCTTCGTGCTCAAAAGACTCTGGCCCTTTCGCGATAAGAACCCAAAATCAAATGACACAACAGCATTCTCTGAAGAGGTGTGCGGCACAGAAGTTGCATGCTGGTCCTGGCGTGCTCTGTGGCGAATGCAAATCTCGCACCAAGGCTCGTAAGGCTCATGCGTCAGACAGTGACGCGCCTTGGTAGCCGCATCAGGCTCGGAGGCTACTGCCGGGGTGACCGGATCACGAGCCCTCGAGCTGGCCAAATTGGCCTCGACATGCTTATCAATCAGCAGCTGTTGCGAGTTGATGTGATTCGTCAAGCGGCGCCACAACTGACGGCGATTACCGGCCTTACTCAAGCCCAAACTAGTGCAAGCGGCCCTGAGGACTGTAGCTGAAGACTCACTCGTCACCCTGACGCCCTCAATCACGACAGTATCAGCAGGCAACTGACCTTCTGGGCTGTCCGGAACAGGGTTTGCTTCACCTGGTGAGCCATCAGCGGCTGGTGCAGGTGGTGCAACAGGCACCTCAGGAGGAGACAAATCCATGTCATCATCAGCCGATGCTGCTGCAGCCGGCGCGGGAGCCGGAAGGATGACACCATAATTATCCCCTGCATACGAAAAACCCAGCTCCTCAGGAGACATGTCAGCTCTGTTGTATGCAAACGTTATGCATGACTGCACGGGCTCGCCGGGATCAAACGGCTTCTCTAGGTTGCCTTCGCCTGCAAGAGCACTCACATCCTCTCCAAACTCTTCAAGGTACCAGCGATCTGACCTGCGACACAAAGTGGTGCGCCTCCACATGAGGTTGTCAAATGGACCGAGTGTGGTGTTGACGTGGTGTGCAGCACTCGATCGCAACACATAGCACGACGGCGCAATCTTGACCCAGCCACGATTGTTGCTCAGACCAGACAGCTTCTCGCCTAAAGTGACCTCGATTGCGCGGACCTGCAACGGTACTGAACCTTGCTGCACACAAGTACCATCTGCACCTGAACTTGATGAAGCACCATCACCTCGGGGCATGTGACCTGACTGCGTCGAACTGCTCTGGGGCATGTGACCTGACTGCGTCGAACTGCTCTGAAGCATGTGACCTGACTGCGTTGAACTGCTCTGGGGCATGTGACCTGACTGCGTTGAACTGCTCCGGGGCATGTGACTTGACTGCGGTGCAATGCTCCGGGGCATCGCGGAAGTACTCTGGCTCATCATGGCATCAGTTTCACTGCGACTCAACATACGAATGGTCCCCTGTGCACAGAAAGACTGGTGACGATAACCAATCGGGACCGAGTGAGTGTCATTGCTCAGCTTCAAGACATTGCTCTCAGGGCGGACAAACCAACCTGCACGATACAGTTTGCCAAGGCAGATCAAAGGGTGAGTGACATTGGACAGGGCAAAACGCTCGTAGAACCGGCACGGGCCGATCCTCACCTCAGCAATGCGAAACTCACGTACCTGAAGAGGGTTTCCCTGGGCATCTGAATACCTCATGCCGCTCGAAGACCTGTCCTTAACTCCAACATTGGAGAACCGCAAGGGAAGTGCTGACACATCAGCACCGGAATCAAGTATGATGTCCACTTCATCATGCGTGATGGCCCTGACCTGTGGGCCTCGGCCCAGGTACATTTCGTTGATGGCCTCAAGGCAGTCATACTGATCCTCAAGGCTGATGCTTGACAATCCACAGTCATCATCAGCATCATCCTGGGCACACTGTATCATTCTGACACTCGGGCCAAACCTGCGCTCACCAGCCTGCCCAGCAGCAACATGATGCCACTCGTCATACTAGTACGTGTCACCATCATCATACCAGGCATCATATGGTTCATCTCCACCGGGGCATGCACCAACATCCTCAGTGCCCTCAAGGTCATAAATGGTCAAGTTTGGGATGGGCTCCCAATCATCTGACAACACGTACTCGAGCGGGGTTCCAAACGCCACTCTGCGCACAGCAGTTTGCTGGCCCCCAGGGCCCTTTCCACCTGCTGCCTGACCTGTTGCGTGCTGACCTTGCTGCCCGGCACCTGCTGATGCTTGCTGCGGCGGCTGCGGCACCTGTTGCTCGCCTACCTGCCTCAACTGTGGACAATCACGTTTCCAGTGACCGGACCGTCCGCAATTAAGGCAAACGTCAGCGCCTTTGCCCTTGCCTTTGCCCTTCGGGCCTTTGCCTCTGCCGCGGCCCTTGCCGCCATCCCAGCCACCATGCTGGGGGGCCTTGCCGTTCCAAGGATTGCCCTTGGCATGCTTGCCTTTGCCTTTGTCCTTGCCTTTGCCTTTGTCGTGGCCCTTACCATAAGGACGATACGGCTTGCCTTTGTCACCCTTGCCTTTGCCTTCTTTGCCTTTGACCCTGCTTATGTCCATAGGCTGAGGCCCTTGGTCGCTGGCGGTTGACGTTCCCAGCTCAACATGCACACGATGGGCCGTCCATGTGGTAGTCACCGATTCGTACTGAAGGATGCTTTCGCGGATGCTCTCGTAACTGGACTTTTCTGTCATCTGAAGTTGTACGTGTTGTTTCAAATGACTCGGGAGAACCCTTACTAGAACACCTAATCGAACATCCGGGGCTATAGGTCTTCCAGCCACCTTTTGATACTCTTCCGATATCCTCTCGAGGGCACTCACCTGCTCGCGAATGCTTCTCTCTTTCACGAAGGCTGGATAAGCCATGTAGGCGCTCAATAGCGCCAACGAGCGTGCACGCGTGCGTGGAGCGTACACACTAATGAGTTGCCTCCAAAGCTCAAACCCATTATGCTCTTCAACAGCTCTCAACATCACCAACGGCCTGCCCTTCAGCAACCCTGACAAGATTGCGTAGAGCCTGCGGGCGCGCACACCCGTTGCACGAGCCATCTCACCCAAGGTGATCACAACATCGGGATGTTTCTCAATCATATCCAGCTCAGTCTCAAAAGCTGGCTCAGCATAAAGGATCCAAGAGCGAAAGCTGTGCGCAAACTCCTGCCAGCGGGCAAGGTCCGCCTCGTGAGAATCACCTCCACCGAAGCCTTCAGGATACTTCAAAACCTTCGCTGCATCCGTATAGCCTGAGTACTGTCGCTCAGTCCCACGCTCATTCTGCTCCTGCATGCGCGACACAGCACTAGCAGCACTGGCAGCCGCACTCGAAGCAGCTTGCACGAGAGCTGCAAGCTGGGTCACGTCATTAACACTCACTTGAGGGGCTGGCTCAGTAACCGGTGCCGCTGGCATTTGCTGCACGGCCTCCTGCATACTCATCGTCGCATCACCTTGACCTGCTTCTAGCTGGCCTGGGCTCGCTGGGCTCGCCATCGGAACCACAAAAGGGGACTACACCCCTAAGGGGGTTGGGTAGTGACTTGCAAGAAGAGGGGTCCTCTGCTGATGACTGCTCCTCAAGATCAATAACCTCACGGCTCACGCTCAGCCTAGCGAAAGCACGCAGTGGCAGTTCCTGGGTATCTGCTGGCACTGACTTGGACTCCTCAGCTCTTAAGACAACCTCGTAAGAGTGCCTAAGGAAAACCTCGAGCAAATGCGGATCTGCTGACAGCAATTTACAAGCGTACGCAATGATTTCAGCTGCCGTGGTCAGTTGCTCAAGTTTGTACTTATGCTCTAGCCTCAGCTGAACCTGCCTCTTACCAAACGAGTAATCAGACAGCGACGGCGTGCGTGGCTTCTCAAGCTGCAACTCAGTGTAGGTTTCAATTGCGCAGGATCGCAACTGACGAACCCAAAGAATCTTCTTAGGCTGTTAATTGATAGGATATATACTATCCTATTATAGGATATATAGGCTATTTATAAATAGCCTAAATAGTCTATTATAGGATATGTAAATATCCTAAAATAGACTAATTTTCTATGTCTTGAAATGCCATCGTATTGGCATTGAGCTGCAAGGCCACAATAAGTTGCTTGCATCAGTGCCTTCACTTGGCATGTGAAAGGGTCAGCAGGAAGCCAAAGGCTCCTAAGGTTAGAGCTAGGATTCGTAGCGAGACAGGAAACCGAAGGCTAGATCTAGAGTAATGATCGAGAGGAACAGGAAGCCGAAGGCTCCTCTAGAGTAATGATCGACAGGAAGCCCAAGGCTCCTCTAGAGTGTTTGCATGCCTGTAGAGTGTGAGTGCTTGTTTAATGCATGTGCATATATATCTGCAGCTTTTGTGCTCGAAGCTCTTAAGCTAGTGCCCTTCGAAGCCATGAGGGTGGCAGCTCTTGTGCTGCTGGTGGCCGTGTGGGGCCGTGTCGACGATGGATGGGAAGTCGTTCGCACGGCCCCTGAAGATGGTGCTGCCCCGAACCAGCCGATGCAGGTGGACGAGGAGGGCCCTCCGGAAGTGCCAGTGCCGGTGCAGGCGGAAGTGATCCCCGGTGCTGGTGCTGCAGGTCCGGAAGTGCCAGTGCAGGCGGAAGTGATCCCCGGTACTGGTGCTGCAGGTCCGGAAATGCCAATGCCGATGGAGGCGGAAGTGATCGACCTGAGCTTCGAGGAATCTGCGGAGCTCCATGAGGCGGCGGAGAAAGCGAAGGCAGCCGCTGCCGCTGAGGCGGCTGAGAGGGCCAAGGCTGCCGCTGAGGCGGCTGAGAGGGCCAAGGCTGCCGCTGAGGCGGCTCAGAGGGCGAAGGTCGAAGAAGCTGAGAAAAAGAAGGCAGAAGCTCTAGCAAGGGCTCAACAGAAGACGAAGATGCACGAGGAGGCTGCCAAAAAAACTCACGAGGCAGCAGAGAGGCTAGCTGAGCTTTGCATGGCTGAAGAAGAGGCAGCAGCCCGTTTGGAGCAACTGCTGCAGCAGGCGGCCTCCAGCTCAGGCGCCACTTCAAAAATTTAGGAAGCCAATGGCTCCTTCAGCTTTATAAGTATAGATCAGGCAGCCACAGGCTCCTAAGCTCCGGTCCGGCCTGCAGGTGCTCAAAGCTCCACGTGGAGACCGGGTGCACCTGGCCCGGAGCAGACTCAAAGCCCAGGCTCGATCCCGACAAAATCTTTTAATCTAAGACAATGGCTCCTAAGCTCCTGTCCGGCCTGCAGGTTGTCAAAGCTCCACGGCTGCACCTGGCTCGGAGCAGACTCAAGGCCCAGGCTCGACCCCGACAAGTTCTAAGGCTTAATATAGGAAGCCCATGGCTCCTTCAGCTTTTAAGTAGGATGGATCAGGCAGCCACAGGCTCCTAAGCTCTGGTCCGGCCTGCAGGTTGTCAAAGCTCCCCGTGGGCAACTGGTCCGGAGCAGACTCAAGGCCCAGGCTGGACCCGGCAAAATCTAAGGCATGTAATCGATCCAGATCCCTGCTGCAGGTGCTGGAGTTCCCCCGTGGCGGCGAGCTGTTCCTGAAAGTCCACCACCGCCGCAAGGGCCGCCGCCGCAAGGGTGGCAAACTCAACCGCCGCAAGGGCCGCCGCCGCAAGGGTGGCATACTCAACCGCCGCAAGGGCCGCCGCCGTTCAGCTGGCCTCAAGGACATGCTTGGGCTCCAGGCTACCCTTGGCAGTTTCCTCAAGCATGGCCTGGAGTCACGTGGCCTCCTCCGCTAGGCTGGCCCAGCTGCACGTGGCCACAAGGTCCACTTCAAGCTCCACCTCAAGGTCCACTTCAAGCTCCACCTCAAGGTCCTCAAGCTCCACCTCAAGTTCCTCAAGCTCCACCTCAAGTTCCACTTCAAGCTCAAGGTGAAGTTCACTTTCAAGCTCAAGCACAAGCTTCACCTCGACCTCCACCTCCACCACCTCAAGTTGAACCTCAAGCTCGAGAAGCTCCACTCCCACCGCAGGAACCTCCACGTCCACAAGCTGAAGGTCGACCAGAAGCTGCTGGGTTTTCAGGTGGACAAGCTCGTGCAGGACATGGTTTAATCAGGTAGCCAGCGGCTCCTTTTTTACAGGATTTATAAATCAGGTAGCCAGCGGCTCCTTTTTTACAGGATATTGGTGGCATCGTAATGCTTGCTTCCAGGACCTCGCCTCGACCTACGATGGTGCAAAGTCTGCCATGCCCAGAGCTACTACCAGTCCGGCACATGTGTCAACCCGGCCTGCGAAGCTTAGCTTATTTTGAGACCCTAGACCCTAAACCCCTAAACCCTCAACCCTAAGGCCGAAATTTAATCCATACAGCCGAGGCATTGTACACGGGCAAACGTCCAACCACGGGGGGGTGGCGCTTAAAGCGAGGAACCCGTGGCAAGAAGCGGGCTGAGTGGTGGAGCAAGCGGCACGGAGGCCAGTGTGTTATAAATAGCAGGCAGCCTTGGGCTCCTGTAAGTATATATATATATATATATATATATATTATAAATAGCAGGCAGCCTCGGGCTCCTTCCTATAAGTATATATCCTATAAGTATATTATATATAATATATTATATTATATATTATATATATATGTAGATAACTCCTTAGAGTGTTGTCCCTGCCCATGCAAGTAAACCCCCCTGCAGGTGCTTCTGGCTCCAAGGGCCAGGATGACGAGGAAGATGACGATGAAGAAGAGGAAGACGATCAGACATGGGGCCCCTGGAATCCCAAAGATGGCTCGAACGGTGACAAGAACGGCGGTGGATGGGGCTCCTCTGGTGGATGGGGTTCCTCGCAAAGCTGGGGAACTCCAGCCGTGTGACCATGCAGCGAGCATAATGCACGATCGGTTCTTGCAGAAAAAAGTTTTGTGTCCGTGTTGTGTACTGTAAGTGACTTAAGGCAGGAAGCCTCAGGCTCCTTGAAGTGGTAGAGGTGCAGCAATTATAACAGGAGCACTATATGCACCCTAAACCTTAAACCCTTAAACCCTAAAGCCCCAAACCCTAAACCCGCCTGCGAGCTTCTTGCAGTTTTTCAATAGGGCAGGAAGCCTCAGGCTCCTCAGAAGGTTTAGGACAGGAAGCCTCAGGCTCCTCAGAGGGTTTAGAACAGGAAGCCTTGGGCTCCTGAAGCTTGAAGCTAGAGTTTGACCGTGGCCGAGGATTACTGTAGCACTCTAGAGGCTCCCATGTCAGCCCAGGCCCCTTGTCATCTGCATACCGTGCTGCAGTCCTGGAGCTCAAGACAAGACGTGTTTCACCCTCGCTTGAAGCCATGAGCCAGAGTGCCTTGGACGTGTTCTTCGGTGGAAAGGGTAGTGAGCCAGAGCTCGACACTCAGCAAGAAGACACTCAAGAAGTGGAGGTAGTTCAGGAAGTCCCGGAGCCTCAAGAGCCTGAAGCTAGCGAGGTTGAGGCTGCACCCAAGGCCAAGGCCAAGGCCAAAGCCAAGGCCAAGGCCAAGGCCAAGGCCAAAGCCAAGGCCAAGGCAAAGGCGAAGGCCAAAAGCAAGGCCGCCGAGGAGCCTAAAGCAAAGGCCAAAGGCAAGGCGGCAAAGTCCGAGAAGTCCAGCGAGGACGAGAAGGCGGGCGACGAGGCCGTGGCGAAGGAGGAGAAGCAGCAGGAGTCGAGCCAGGAGCACGAGCAGGACGAGAAGGCCGACAGCGACAGCAAGGCCACCAAGCCCCAAGCCAAGGCCAAGGGCAAGGGAAGCACGGTCGAAGAGCCGAACCCCCCCGACAACGGTACGGAGAAGCGACCGGGCAGCCCGCCGGAGGAAAGCAGCAAGGCGAAAAAGTCTCGCTCGGACCAGGACCGTGAGAAAGCGGCGAAGCTGGGCGACCTGCAGCTTTGCAACAGCGAGCCCCAGCCGCCTGCCGGGCAGGGGGAAAGCAGGGACAAGAACAAGGCATGGTGGTTCTCGAAGCACTTGAGCACCATGCCGGACGATATCCAGAAGTTGTTTCTCTCTGAGAAAGTGTCACGGGTGCCTTGCCACATTTTGATATCTAGGCTTTGGCCCTATAAAGGAGGCACCGTCAGAGGCAGCCTTTGGCTCCTGCTATAATTGCCATAGGCTTTTGATCCTTGAGGTAGCCTTTGGCTCCTGCTGTGCAACCATCTGAGGCCGACAAGACGAAGCTCATCAATGGTGCGGTTGAGAAGAAATCCGGGGGCAAGGCCGGCCAGATGTACAAGCTGAACACCGAGTCCGCCGTGCTCCAGCAGCTGAGCACCTTCTACAAGAAGGTTTGTGGCAAGGACAAGGTGAAGGGCAAACCCAGAGCACTGATGGTGGCCAAGCTGGGAGGGGAGGAAGCTTTCAAGAAAGCTCTGGCCACCGGGGATGTGTATGAGGTGAACAACAATGGTTCCTTGTTCTACTGCTTCAGAGAGATCGTCGTCACCAATGAGACTGGCACCAACAATAGGATGTCGACATCGAAGCTACGGAGCATTTAGAGGCTTATGTTTTAAAAGCTTGAATGAGCTATAGATACTAAGTTTTGT